TAATTATTTTAAATATTTAAAATATGTTAAAAATCAAGTTTTTATTTTAAATATAATTTTATTTTTATAAAATATCCTTGATCACAGAGAACTCAAAAAAACTAAGTTTGATAATTTCTTAAGTCTTATTTTGATTTTTAAAAAAAATCATTTGTTTCAAAAGTGGTATTTATCTTTGAAAATCAATTTAAGTTATCAAATGAACTCAAAACATTTTGAAGTTTTTATGATGAGTTTTGTGGATCATAAACCATAGTGGAGATCAAAAGTCAAGTCATTTAAATGTTGATATTTTCCAAAATTAATTATTTTTGTAATTTGGTGTTTGTAAAATTTAATAATATTTTAATTGACTTGACCAATAAAATTATTTCCAAAAGCTTTTCTGGTCATTGTGGACCTTCCAAAATTTTCTTAGTATTTTCTAATCAGTATGCTAAATTCCATGATTACTTTGAAGAAATAATATGGAATAACTTGAAAAATATGGATCTCTGTATAGCAACATCTTTGGACTTTGGAATAATCAGAGAATAATTCTCTTGACAGAGGCTACAACATGCCAAAATTTTAAGCCAATGTGATGTGCCAATATGCATGGGGAATCAAATAAATCAAAACAGTGTTTAATTAATTAAAAATAAAATATGCATCAAATGGACTTGAAATTTAATCCGCATTATTCTCCTCTGTTCACTAAGCAAGAGAGTATTTTTTATTTTTTTTTTTGATTTTTCTACACAAAGTTATGAATTTTCTAAGTTACAGGTATTTAAATAAATAAGAAAAGCCCTATTTATATATTTAAACCGCGCGTGCCACCTCATCCTACGAAAGCTCCGAAGGCATGCATGGTGCGCTCTGGTTGGATGTCGCCGTCCACATAGCTTTCTGCCTCGGCTCGCTGTTTATGTCCCGAGGCGTCATCCGGCTCGATCTTGGCCATCCATGTGATACACGTGTAATCGAACGGCTCCCCGTCATCGTCCCCGATAGAATGATCCCGTAACCGTCCACACTAAAACCTTAAGATCTCAGACTAGACTCAACCAAATCACCTCAGGTTTGATCTTATGGACTCGTCTAAGTGAGACAAACATATCTATATGGTAATCATGCAATTAAATTAAGCCTAATTAAATGGAGAATCAAAATAGGCTCGGGATGAGGTGAGGTTTTGTACCTTTTCTCTGAGAAGTGAAGCTTTGATCAGAGGGGTTCGGCATGTTCGTCGGGGTCCAAGGAGGCTAGGGATTGAGTCCTTGTCTTGGTGTAAGGCTTAAGTAGGAATTCGATCACGGTCGGATTTGGGTATTGGTCTAGAGCTATGGTATAGGCTCCGTGGGAGGGGGATTTTATGGGATTTTGGCTTCTTTCACTGTTATAAAGGTGTGGGTGATGTTAATTTGAGTTTGGTGGAGTGTGGAGGTGTGTTGGATTCTGTTCTGGTTTCTGGAAAGGTTTCAAGCTCAAAATTGAGCTCTGATAATGGGAATGCGTGAAGGAAAATGGTTGGAATGCACTGAGGGGATCTTAAAGAATCTCTGTGTGAAGTTTGGAGATGCCTCACGAAGGCAATTTCAGCACACCTCCCATGGTGGGAGGTGAGTTTTTATAAAAATGTCCATGGGGTGGCTCTCAGGGCACAAGTTTGGGTGCATTGTGGTGCTTAGGTGGAGGGCAGGGAGCTCTTCAATTTGATTTGGATGAGTTGGCCTCTAGGTTTGATTTGGGTGAGGTTCCATGGGGGTGGCTATCAATTTTGAGCTTTTTCGGCCACTGGGCTAGCCGGTCGGCCCGGGGGAGGTGGCTAGAAGCTCAGGGAACCTAGAGGAATCCATAAGAACAATTTAATACAAATGTGCTTTGATTTGACAAAGATATCTTATCTTAAGCATGTGCATTTTTGGAAATAATATCCCTTAATTTGGGAGACCTTTGGTCCATGACTTGAGTTAGGTGGTTTCATGGTTTTTGGACTGGTCACTAGGTCCAACGAATGGCTGTGGTGGAGTTAATGTAGTGACTTTAGGGTGGTTAGGTCACATTTAGTGCATGGGTCCAAGTGGGTGCAAATGACCAAAACTTGGGTTTGGGCTAGGCTAGCGATGTCAATTAGCCCAATTGATTATTTCATTTGGTGTAGATGATCATACGGAACAACTTTGATGAAGGATGGAAGTGGTTTTGAGTTCAATTGAGGGGTCAATATGATGGAATCTTGAACTTTAATCAATTTGGTCATATTGGGCTAGGCTTGGGTCTCGCTTGGGTTAGCCTTGGGCTAAGTCCAAATTGATTA